TAGCAGTATGATATAGTGCTTCATCTGACCAGTAATAGGTGACCTTTTGAACAATAATATATGATCTTTTATGAATAATATACTACAGACAATACAGTCAAAAGTATATGTAATCCAGGATGTACATTGTATACATACCTGTATATTTAAATATCAAGGAGTACATAAAGCATTGGCTTCTGGAATATCTTAAAAAGTGAAGATGGATGCATGTATGCATTATGCTATGAAATAAGTGATAAGAATAACCCCATGCAGCCTCTGGTCATACACTAAGATCTACTTCCTGTACTCACCCTTTAGCTATTACCACACACACATACTAATATACTAAGTACACACATAATTGACCATATTTGGGGATAATAACTGAAATGCTAATAATAACAGTAATACAAACAGTCACTGTCATGTGATGATGAGTGTTACTTATATTAGAAGAACTACTTGTCTTGTAACATACCTTCAACAATAATTACAAGATGATTGATGTCTCTCAATGGAGAGCAAGTATTGGACTGTGGAACTACTGTCAAGCTGCCTCCAGTAGACCAGCTAATGGTCGTCACTCTCACTCATTCAAAGCTGCAGTAGACAGCAAGTCAGGCAGTACTACATCAGGAGAGAAGACATCTAAACTGCCACCAGCTCTGTCTCTTATTGCTTTATGCCTCCTCCTCCTCTTTCTCTCTCTCTCTTTATTAAGACACATCTTGATGATTCCTCCAACAGGTAAACAACAATTACAACTTTGTACTTGTATATTTACTGGTATTTTATTATTAGGTAACTGCTACCAAGTACAATGTACTACTGGTGTTACTGTTACTGATACAAATTACCTCCAGTTAGTAATCTTACCTGGCGGCAGCAGTTCTAACCTGATTTACAATGATCTCTATTTGATTGTTTGTCTACGTATGCTCCTCCTCCTATCAGGAGATGTTGAACTCAATCCTGGTCCTACAACAGGTAGGTACAAATATTAGTTACTGTTTAAAATTATAAAGCCTCTATTATATAGACAAGGAGCTTACTAAGGCAGCAGTCATGAAGATATTTGTTTCTTCTGCTAACCATTACAAGCTAATAGGGATTGGATTGAATGTAGATGTGTCTGATCTGATGCCAATACCAGGAACAGGAAATACCAATCTTATGATGGTATTCGAGAGGTGGTTTGATGCTGATAGAGATGTCAATTGGGATACATTAATAGAACTGTGTGATGACTTTCCTGATCAACTGAGCAAAGCAAAATCTAAACTTCTGGAATATATAGGTAAGTTAAAAGGCTTGATATTAATTATTTTATACAATGCTCCAATTATAAAAATTTATGTGTAAGTACATTATTCCAGTGTTCGATAATGCTCATTATAATTATCTCAATACATTAGGTCAGTCTATACCTGATAATGTCAGTTCACATACTGTACTACCATCACCAGTTGATGATATATCCAATACACCAGGTAAAAGAAAATAACTTAATACTATATCCTTAAATGCTATTTTGTTATATGCCTGGTGTATTGGTATCATTATTCATTTTTGTAGGCAATGAAAAGTTTCAAATGGAAGATCTAATAAAATCAGGTATTCTTACAATTATACTGTTGCATAATGTTACTGTTAATAATGTTAATTAATGTAATGCACATGTTAATCAATAAGCTTTAAAAAGAGTGTCAGTGTGAAAAGCCTTTAGGGTTAATTTTTATCATTTGTACAGTTTACCATATAGGGCATCATGTTCGTGGGATGCAAATTTGGTGGATTTTGCGAATAAAGTAAATTCACAAAAATAAAATCCACGAATTTCAATTTAATACGATACCTGCATGGCACACATGGTAGAATTTGCAAAATTAAAATCTGTAAATTTTAATTTTAGTAGATTTCACGAAATTTGCATCCTGCGAACATTATGCCCTATATGGTATAATAAAATCAAGCTGTCACTGTACATCAATGTGTATAGGCACACTAGAGCAGTGGTGTAAAGAAGGTATTATGAAGCTGACACTTACCCGTGTACTCATGATTGGTCCTGCTGGATCTGGAAAAACATGTGCACAAAGTCTTCTACTAAATGAAGACCCACCAATGGGCATACCATCAGAATATGCTAACTCATCTAAGCCACCTACCCTTTTACAATCTGACCCACATACCAATGCCCCCTCAACCACTACAACTCCTGTACAATCTTCTGGCCTCACTCCTCATTCTATAGTCTCTATCACTGACAGTACACCAATAGCTTGTAAAGCTGTCAAGGCTCTTAGAATAGCTTTTGATGGTAAAGAGACATGGAAGAGAATTACTAGAGATGAACTGCTGAAGAAATTAGCATCTAGTTTAAAAAAAGCTGCAGAAAATGCTTTGCGAAGAAGGCAAATATCAGCTCATCCACATTTAGAAGAATTAGAGGGTGCCATGGAAATTGATTTAGAAGTACCACTAGAAGATTACGATCCTGAAGATGTACTTAAGGAAATTGCTGATCTTCTACCTAAAGCAGAAGCTCAGTTAAGTGAGAAGTGGGTATACATTGTTGATTCTGGTGGTCAACCAGCATACCAAGAGCTGCTACCAGTGTTTACTAGAGCAGCTACTCTTAACGTCATCACACTTGATATTTCAAAAGGCATTGACGAGGAGTTTGAGTTTATGTATCGAATTAATGGACGAGAATTTCCATGTGATGGGGGAATGAAATATACAAATCGTAAAATATTCGATTCTGTTGTTTCATCAGCATCAGTTCAAAAACCAATTGATATTGAATTTGTCAAACTTCAGTCTAAACACTCAATGTCTTTTGTCCTGGGTACTCATTATGATGTACTGATTGAAAGGACTAATGAAAAAGATGCTGAGACAAAAGTGGTAGAGATGAGTAGTAATTTGATGTCAGAACTGCCTCAATTAGAGAGTCGTATTATTTCCAAAGTACATGGGAATTCAGTCATATATCCAGTTAATACAATGCAGAAGCATTCAAGTAAAAGACAGAAAAATAGTAGAGAAATTTTAGAGACAATATCGAAATGTATAGAGGCTACTATTGAAATTGATGTCCCAATACGATGTTTTGCTTTTGAGCTTTATTTGGAAAAGAAGGCAAAAGGCAAAGGTTTTGTTACTAAAGATGAAGCCATTAAAGAAGGTTATAAGCTTTACATGAATGATGATGAAGTCGAATTAGCTCTAACCATTCTTCACAATAGCACAATCATTTTATACTACCCTAGAATCCAACCACAATTAGTATTTGTTAACCCTCAGAAAATCATTGATGTTCTTTCTCATTTGTTAGCTCTCACTTACGTTGATTATCCAACAGCACAATCACTGGCAACAAATGTAACTGAATTTGAGAAGTCTTATCTTACAAAAAATGGTCGTTTCAAGAAAGGTCTTCTCAAAAAGTTTTCAAAAGTATTCTCAGATGATTTTACACCAGAATACTTCATTAACCTCCTTCAACATCTTCATATTATTAGTGAATTGAAAAATCAGGCTGGGTATTATGTTTATTTTCTTCCTTCTGCTTTACCTGCCTACAACAATGAGTATGATAAGGATCTACCTGAAAGTATAAAGCCTCTTTATTATGTGTGGCTAGAACAGGAAGATGAATGGGAATCAAAAAAGTTAGTCCACGTTCCTCAAGGAATTTTTATCTTATTTTATGTCCATTTGCTGGAACAGAAGGAATACAGAGTCGAGTTTACTCAAGACTCCAAGTATCGTGATGCTGTTTCATTTTGGATCTACATTAAAGGAAAACGTTATACACTTTACATAATCAATTGCTATGAACATATTAAAGTTTATTTTGATGGTCCTAAGAAGTATTGTCCACAAGTTCGTGAGTTGATCACCACAACTATCAATAAAAGTTCTGATGCCATCAATGCTAAACGGAATCATGCAAATGCATTTCCTTGCCCTAATAAGAAAAAACATTGCTATTGTGTTGTGGATGAAGAGAATCAGGTAGCAAATTGTATATTGTGTAAGTCAAGTGATATCAGTGAAAATGATGAGACTTACTGGTGCTGGTTTGGTCTTGAATCTGACTCTAGTTCAGCAGGTAAATTTAACTTTTAACAGTAATAGTGTATGGTAATAATTACAGGTATAGAAGAAGATGTTCTATTGAACATAAAACATTTGCATGATGTACGAATGTTGCTTAAAAAGAGTCAATTTTCAAATGCTGAATGGTTTAATTTTGGTCTTGGTTTGGGTTTATATCATAATACATTAAAAACTATTGAGATGGATTATCCAAGAGATACTAATGGGTGTGTTAGAGAGTGTCTGGTGAAATGGTTGGAGAAAGCTGATGATGTAAATGATAAAGGAGGAGCAAAATGGAGCACATTAATTAAAGCTCTTGAAGATTGTGATCAAAACTCAACAGCTGATTACATCAGTGAGTGAAATGATATTATTGTAATTAATGTATCCTGTACATGTTTAGGAAGTAAAACATTGAAAAGAAAAGCTGATGAAGAACTATGCACAACTTCTAAAAGTAGCAAATTAGACTAATGTCAATATACTTAAAATGGCTAGGATTCTTCTTTTTGCTAAATAAAATAATTATTATGGTAACTAGTAGGATTGATTATAGTGTACTTAGCAGTAGATTTTGGTTTTTGTTAACACTTTGTTGATTAAATACATACTACAATAAAACATCTATAAAAGGGAAAATCCCCAGTCACCCACGCACTTCACAACACAAAATGGCCTCCTCTTCAACCCCACCTTCTCCTCTTGATTCCAGTCCTAGAGAAGACCTGTGGGCCGAATGGCTGGAACCATTAACAAAATGGCAAACCTTTGGCCTGTACTTACCAGGAATAAAACAAAAGGACATTGATAAGATTGAAGAGGACAAGACTGGAGTGGAGAGTAGGAAGATGGGACTGTGGACTAAATGGACTGGGGTATATCCACCTGGTACATGGACTGATGTCATTAGTGCTCTTAAGAGGCTGAAAGAGAATGCACTAGCAGCTGACATTGAAGAGAGACTGAGGAAAGGAAAAGTATTTGAAATTAAAAGTGAGGCATTAAAGGGAGGGAGGATTATTGGAGCAACTTAAATACAATTTTAACTCTAGATGACATGTATAACGTAAGTACATGTATATGAATCAGGAGATGTAATAAAAATGGAGAAATCTCTCTTAGTCATTTTTGGCGAAATTTGACCTACGACCCTGTACTATAGTACAGGGACTTTGGCACAATTTTGAGTAACTTCAAAATTTTGTAAAAAATCCAATTTTGATCACAATCAGCTCAAACTTTCTACGCAACATAAGAACATGTATATGTATCAGGAAAAAATATAAAAATGGAGAATTCTTTCCTAGTCATTTTTGGCGAAATACCCTGTACTATAGTACAGTACCAAAACATGAGACACTATAATTATTAATGTCTTCTTATATTACAGGCCCTCCTGCTGTTGCTCCTCCCCCTCCATCAGTTGATATTAATAAATTAAGACGAATAATAACTGAAGTGATACGAACTAACTACGCTACATTCAATAAATCACTGAAAGACAACATTAAACAAATTTCCCGTGAAATGTTCGCTCGGGGTCTCCTCTCAGAGTCAGTGAAAGAGTACCCAAGCTATGACAGCTTAATACGAGAGTTTGAGGCCGGACTGAACTTTAAGAAGTCTGTGAAAGCGATAGAGGAACACTGCAAGAAGTTCATTGAGAGTGTAATGACTCAGAAAGGACCTCCAGAGTCACATGCTAGAGAGATAGCGGAGGAATGGAGGGAAGAAGTCTTGAAGACACTTCATTTTGAATTTAACGTTTTATAATAATAATATTAGTCTAGTTCTGCTATCATATTAGTAAGTTTATTATTATTGTTGTTGTTGTTGTCGTTGTTATTATTATTATTATTGTTGTTGTTGTTATTATTTTTGTATTAATTTTTTGTACTGTTTTCTATCGTAGCATATGATGTGTTTGTTTGTATGAATTTTATAATTTTAGTTATTCTATTTTTTAGATAACCTTTCGACAAAAAAATTGTCACTTAAAATTTAATTTGTATAAAATCAGCCACTTATAACTTCATAATTTGTGTTCAGAATCAGCTCAAACTTTGCACAATATAAAAGTGACTCAATATATACATGTACCTGTATATGTGCATAACTATGAAGATTCAATATATCATAGATACAGCATGTGTGTATGTTGATTATAATAACTGACTATTAACACAGAGCAAACTAGCCAATGAGGAAATAGATCAAGAGCTTGTACAAACAATAACATGAACATACAGTGAAGCTACACCTATTGTATGTACATGTACATGTACATTATACATGTATTAGATGTATGTACATGTACATGTGTACATAGGCTCAATACTAGATTATACATGTACATGTATGCATACATGTACATGTACTAATGTACATATTCCATATATGGTTAATGATATCTGCTATTCATAGCATGTGCATATTTGAGGAGGTAGGCTGTATTCATAACTATGTCCAACACAGCAATAGTACGTCAGCAAAAAATAAGAAAATCACGGTTAAAGCTACTGCCCTTTCTCTCTGTATATACTCAAACAGTTATACTTGACAATGGATGGGAAACCAGACATGCCTGATCTACTGGACTGGCTCCAGGAGCTAGTGGACTGGCAGGCATTCGCTTTATTTCTGCCAAAAATGGAGAAGCATTTCGTTGCCATTATAGAGAAAAACAGGGTCGGGGATATTCCAGCTCAAAAGATTGCTATGTACGATAAATGGCTGAGAGTCTATCCAGAGGCTAATTGGGGTCATGTTATTAAAGCATTGGAAAAAGCAAAGGAAGAGGAACTGGTCAAGAAAGTAAAGAAGAAGTTAGGAGTGATGGAGTTGGTTGATGAAAGCACAGGAATGAAGAAACTATAAAACAAAAGCTATCCATTATTTCATTATAATATAATTACTGTCACTCATGCTTGTATATATTCTTTGCTGCTAAGAATAAACATTTTAAAATCTTTTTATGGACTAAGCACGTGCATGATACCATATAGTGCCATTTCTATAGTACAAGTAGTCTATGACTATAGAAGATACACTGATAATGAAGATTTATAGATGATATACATGTACCTATTAAAATAGATAACTGCTCTACATGTACCCCGAGAGATTGTATTGTATTTATAACTCAAACAATAACAAAACTACATGTACATATATGTACACACACACATATACACCACATATGCCTGTATTACAGTACATGTGTACATAGACTATATACCAGCTATGATATACATATACATGTACATTATACAACATATGCATGTATTACAAGTATGCTGTATAATAAATATAATATACATATGTACATGTACTAATGTACATAGTCCATATATGGTTAACGATACCTGATATTCATAGCATGTGCATATTTGAGGAGGTAGGCTGAACTGGGAATGTATTTATAATTACAGTAAACAGCACAGCACAGAATACGTCAGCAAAAACAATAAAATCAGTAAACAGGATTATTATACTAGTGTATTCCTTTCTCTTTACTTGTCATTGACACACTATGGACAGGAAACCAGAAGTGAGTGAGCTACTGGAGTGGCTAGATGAGCTGACAAGGTGGAAGAAGTTTGGTACATTTCTTCCTGGAATAAGGCCACATGACCTTGATATAATAGAAGATGAGGAGAATAGGGCTGACAACAGGAAGATTGCTTTATTTGGGAAATGGTTGCGAGTCTATCCAGAAGCTAATTGGGGCCATGTTATAGATGCATTGAAAAAAGCAAATGAAAAGGAACTGGTTGAAAAAGTAAAGAAGAAGTTAGGAATTTTGCCAGTGGCCAAAGCTGGTGAGGAAATGGTGGACGGACAGGAGGAGGCTGATAAGGAAGAAATGGTCGATGTGAATTAAATAAAGTCACAGGGAAATAGAACTTGTACACAAAAAACTATTCAATATTTCATAGTTCATGTACTGCTGTCACTCATTCATAATAAGTTGTGTTGTTTGCCGTTAAAATTAACTTTTAAAATAAAATTAAAATAACAATGATAATGATCGATATATTTAGTAGGTGAAAACTTCCTATTAACATATGCCAATGGCAACATGTACGTGTATATATGTACTGTACACAAACAACCAAAAGAAAGGTCTAAAAATATGTGAGCAATGCTGGCATAATGAATATGTACATTTATTTTGTAATTGTAATCATTACTATGCAACCCTATCTGACCCTACCACTCATACAGGCAGCAACCATTAT